TCGGGCCAAAGATTGCCGTAGCAAAGGCAAAAGCAAAAGAAGAACAAGCAAGAAGCCTGCTCAAGCCAATATGATCGAAATGGACAAAATTTCCAATGGTGTAGATGTCATAAATCTTTCTGCAGTGGTTTCCGAGGCAATTCTTGTCAGAAATCCTAAAGAGTGGTGGGTAGACACTGGTGCTACTAGCCACATCTGTGCTGACAAAAAGATGTTCACATCTCATTCAGTGGTAGACAATGGTGAACAACTTTTGATGGGCAACTCTTCGAGTTCTAAAGTTGAAGGACAAGGAAAGATTATTTTGAAGATGACATCTGAAAAGGAACTCACTCTCAACAATGTGCTGCATGTACCGAACAGTCGCAAGAACCTTGTTTCTGGATCTTTGTTGAGTGAAAATGGGTTTAGGCTAGTTTTTGAAAGTGACAAGTTTGTACTTACCAAAAACGGGATGTATGTAGGGAAATGTTACATGTCTGATAGCCTTTTCAAAATGAATGTAATGACTGTTGTACCCTCTGTTATTAATAAAGATGCATCTTCTTCTTACTTGCTTGAATCTTCAAATTTATGGCATGGTAGACTTGGACATGCTAATTATGGATCTTTGTGTAGATTAATTAATATGGAATGTTTACGTAAATTTGACATTGATTTTAATCATAAATGTGAAATTTGCGTTGAGACAAAATTAACTAAAACTCATTTTCATTCAATTAAAAGAAATATGAAACCACTTGAATTAATTCATAGTGACATTTGTGATTTTAAATCAATTCAAACTAGAGGTGGGAAAAAGTATTTTATCACTTTTATAGATGACTATACTAGATATAGTTATGTTTATTTAATTCGAACCAAGGATGAAGCTTTGGAAACTTTCATTCAATATAAGAACGAAGTTGAAAATCAACTTGGTAAGAAAATTAAGAAACATAGAAGTGATAGAGGTGCTGAATATGAATCGCCTTTTGATGAATTTTGTAAAGAACATGGAATAATCCATCAAACCAAATGGAATTGCTGAAAGGAAAAATAGGACATTAAAAGAAATGATGAATGACATGTTAATAAGTTCTGGATTACCTCAGAACTTGTGAGGGGAATCAATACTTTCTGCTAATTATATACTTAACAAAGTACCTCGAAAGAAAGTGAATCAAACACCTTATGAAATGTGGCATAGGCGAGTACCATCCTACAAATACTTAAAAGTGTGAAGGTGTTTGGCTAAAGTGGCTATTCCCAGTCCTAAAAAGACTAAGATAGATCCTAAAATTGTTGATTGCATTTTCATTGGTTATGCCATGAATAGTAGTGCATATCGATTTTTGATTCATAAGTCAGAACATTCCGAAATGCATGTAAACACTATTATTGAATGTCGGAATGCGTCTTTCTTTGAACATGTATTTCCAAATAAAACTGGACAAGAGACTAGTACTAACAAAAGATCTCATGATGCTATTACTAGTTAGGATCAAGAACAAGAGCAAGAGATAGATCAAAATGAAGAAGAGAAACCTAGACATAGTAAACATGTTAGAACCTTAAAATCTTTTGCTCCAGATTTTCTAACATTTTTGTTAGAAAATGAGTGTTTAACTTTTAAAGAAGCTATGTCCAGTCCTGAAGCTCCTTTATGGAAGAGGCTGTCAATAGTGAAGTTGAATCCATCTTGCAAAATCACACTTGGGAATTGGTGGATTTGCCACAAGGTTGTAAACCTCTTGGGTACAAGTGGATTTTCAAAAAAAAAATGAAAGTGGATGGATCAATTAACAAATACAAGGCAAGACTTGTGGTCAAAGGTTTTAGACAAAAAGGTCTTGATTACTTTGACACATACTCACCGGTTACTAGAATAACATCAATTAGAATGCTAATTGCTATTGCATCGTTGTACAATCTAGAAATTCATCAAATGGATGTGCAAACCGCTTTCTTAAATGGTGAATTAGATGAAGAAATTTACATGGAACAACCGGAAGGATTTTCTGTTCCAGGAAAAGAAAAAAAATGTGTAAATTGGTTAAATCATTATATGGTTTAAAACAAGCGCGAAAACAATGGTATGAGAAATTTGACAAGGCAATGATGTCAAATGGATTTAAAATTAATGAATGTGACAAATGTTTATATTAAAAACACAGACAAATATTATGTCGTTGTATGTCTTTATATGGATGATATACTCATCATAGGTAATAATAATGACATGATTAAAACTACCAAGAAAATGTTGAATAAACATTTTAACATGAAAGACATGGGGATTGCTGATGTAATTCTTGGCATGAAAATTACTAAAACATCAGAAGGTTATGATTTGTCACAATCTCATTACATTGAGAAAATACTTGACAAATTCAGCAAAGATGAGGATCATCTTGCTAGAACACCTGTGGATGTTAATTTGTTTCTTTCTAAGAATGTACAGGAAAGTATTTCTCAATTAGAGTATGCCCAAATTATTGGAAGCTTAATGTACTTGATGAATTGCAGTCGCCCGAATATAGATTATGCAGTAAGTAAATTAAGTAGCTATACGAGTAATCCAGGAGTAGAACACTGGAAAGCAATTATATGGGTTCTAAGATACCTCAGATTTACTCGTAAAATTGGGCTAAATTATACCAGATATCCAACAGTACTTGAAGGATACAGTGATGCAAACTGGATATCGGATACTAGAGACTTAAAATCCACCAGTGGGTATGTCTTTACTCTTGGTGGGGTGGCTGTATCTTGGAAATCTTCCAAACAAACCTACATCGCTAGATTTACTATGGAATCAGAATTCATAACTTTAAATAAAGCTGGGGAAGAAGCAGAATGGTTTCGCTACTTCCTTGAAGATATTCCAATGTGGCCAAAATCGGTGCCTACTATTTGCATACATTATGATAGTCAATCAGTAATAGGTAGAGCACAGAGTCAAATGTATAACGGTAAGTCACGACACATTCGTCGTCGACATAACAGCGTGAGACAACTACTCTCTAATGAATTATTTCCATTGAATATGTGAAGTATAAGGACAACATAGCGGATCCACTAACCAAACGGTTAGCAAGAGAGTTAGTTAAGAATTCATCAAGGGGAATGGGACTTAAGCCTATTAAATAAGAGTTACTACAACGGCAACCCAACGTAGTTGACTAGAGATCCCAAGATCTAGGTTCAAAGGGACAACCGAGTTGTATATGACTCATAAGGATCATTTGGGAGTTAAACTCCTACCCATTTCTATGATGAAACAGTGATGTCTGCATCGTTTTAGGTTAAGTAATACTTTTAATGATTCTTATATCTAGGTATACCTAGTGAAGTATGGCAGGATACTCTTCATAAGAATCACCTATATGAGTGTGAACTCGGCCGGTTCTATGAGATTTGTGAAGGGCTACAATTCTCAAGAGCACTCATGAAACACCAAGTTGTTCAGGCCCAAAATGAACACAATAGTGAGAACTAAACTGTGTCTGGTAATATACTGTATGAGTTCTATTGTCTTGGTTTACACAAATGGCTGAATAGTTCAAGACATCATGTTCACTGGTTAGCTAGTAAATTCGATAGTGTCTCACAATGGAAGGTTCAAAGCCAAAAGCTACCTATACAAAATATTTTCAATTTCTGTACTCTCTGTAATTAGATCATGTTGGTGCATTTTCTCTCCGTCAAACAAATTAAACAAATTAAAATAAATTACCTACAAAATTTATTTTATCGAAATGTATAAGTATAAAAAGATCAAGTCGAGTGTGTGACACTCTGTCCTTAAGACAGATTCGTCCCGCTACAGTGCTTACGGACAAATGGCGTCTATCTCCTGGGATACAATGATCTTTACAAATTGTAGTAGCACTCCAAACAATTTGTACGGCGAACAAAACTTGTGTTCTATACTCTCCAAAATTTCCCTAAAATAATATGAAGAATAAGTTGATACAAGAGAGCAAAATGAAGGCAAAGAAAATTAATTTTCGGAATCCCCCAAAACTGCTGGAATGCCATGGTATTTATTGGGCCAATGGTGACTATTCAAAAATTCCGAACAGGTATGCAAACTGCCGAATAGGTACAGTTTTGAAATTGAACAGATAGTTTCAAATTTTGAACAGATCTATTTAACTGCAACAGTTAAAAAACTGCTGGGCAGTTTTCCTGAACTGTTTGAATAGTTTGAACCTGTAGAGATTGGACTGGTGGAGGTTTGTTTGGACAGAAAAATTTTGGCGCAAAATTAAATTAATTTCATTCTGAAATTCAAATTAATTTTTCCCATAAGAATTTTTGAAAAAATTCAAATGAATTTTGTCCAAAAAATTAATGTTAGAACTGACCCGACCCACACCCGCGCCCGGCACGGCAAGTTAGACGGCAGCGCGCATGTGTGATGGTTTGGGCTAAGGTTTACTTTGTCCATAACTCTTCCCTTTTACAAACTTGGGGTGCCCCTTAGAGCGCAACCTAAGGTTGTACACTTAGAGCTTATATACTCAAAAGCTCTCTTAAAGTTTCAATGTGGGACAACCCATTTCAAGAAAACCCACATTTAATTCTTTAAATGTCCATTCCACGAACGTCAAGTTCCCATTCACTCATAAATGGTTTTGATGAACCGTCTTCACCGTGTGACTCTTCATACGGTAAGGAACACAACACCTCTTTGGACCCACTTCAAAAGACGTATGGGGCCCTCTTTATTTTAGGCTCAAAGTTGGCTCAAAATAAGCCTATAAAAACCAAATTTTCCAACATAGAAATTTCCTTCTCTCATTAAAAATATTAGCTCTACATGTTCATTTGCTGAATCAAATGTATGCCATGTCTTCAAGGTCATCCATCAAGGCTTCTTTATAATTTTTCAAGAAAGTAGCATTTGGTTTATAAAAAATAAAGAAAAAAAATTGTAGTCTTTATAAATGTCTAATTTCATCACTAAAAATATAAAAATGACACTGCCAGCAACTATAATATTTTATTCATAAAAAGTCTGTTTCTAAAACCTTAATTTGTTGTAGTGGTGGCATCAAACATGTCTCTTTTACGTGTCAATTAATCAATTCCAAATTTGCTGAAAATTTGTGAAGTCAAATGATGACATTGAGTTGGTATCAAAAGTCCTAACTAGTTTACATGGTCTAGGATCTTTGGGGCACCCTTGCTAACAACTACTTGGCATCAGACATGCCAACTAATCAATTTCCAATTTGCAGGAAATTTGTGAAATCAAACGATGATACTGAGTCAGATAGAATAGAACACGTAATTCGAGACTTAATCATAACGATGATACAAAAAAGAGAAGAGAAAGTGGTGCAAGGAAAATCGGACAACTACGGGAGTGACTTTCTTGGATCACTTATAAAGTTTTACCATGATGCTGATGATAACAGTAATATTTCAATTGACACTGTGATAGACGAATGCAAGATATTCTACATTGCTGGACAAGAAACCACTAATGGCTTACTAGCTTGGAGCATTTTTCTCCTAGCAATCCATTCAGATTGGCAAGAGAAAGCAAGGAAGGAGGTGCTTGAATTGTTTGGCCAACAAAACCCAAGTCCAGAAGGCATCACAAGATTGAAGAGTGTAAGCAATTTCAACTCTCTAATCATCATCCATTAATGTATGCATATTATCATTTCATATCAAATGCAGACGATATCAATACTAAACTTCTAAGAAAACACAAAACACTTCTATCTTAGAGGCACCTGACAAAACTCGTGAAGTCAATTGCTGGACTAGCCTAGAGTGGTTAGTCTTCTACGTAGAAATTGGTCATGCGTTTTACATGTTATCATAGTTAGGTCATTCCTATGCCAAGATGGGGATGTCCCATATTGGATAAAGATGATGTCCATAATGGACTTATAAGATGACGCAAAATGAGTCTATCTTATAGGCTCTTTTTGGGCCTGGATCCTAAAGGGAGAAATTCGTGAGACTGTTGTTGGGTTGGGATATAGAAAAACATTTTTTTAGGTACAGTTGGGTCGTAAATCTGACAATGCGAAATAAGATTAAGTTTCTAATCATTTATTTTTTTCTTGTAGATGAGCATGATCCTAAATGAAACTCTAAGGTTGTATAGTCCAGCAGCCAATATGTGGAGAAAAGTTGAGAGGGAAGTCAGATTGGGAAAGCTTGTTCTTCCAGCCAATATGGATGTCTATATTCCATCTCTAGCACTCCACCATGACCCTAATATATGGGGAAAAGATGCTCACCTTTTCAAGCCAGAGAGATTTGCCGAAGGGGTGGCTAAAGCAACTAATAACAACACAACAGCATTCATTCCATTTGGTTTAGGACCTCGAATGTGTGTGGGTTTGAACTTTGCAGCAGCTGAAACCAAGATAGCGCTCTCAATGATTCTGCAACGCTATACATTCACCCTCTCGCCAACTTATGTTCACTCACCAATGCAAATGCTTACTATTCGCCCAAAGCATGGAATTGAAGTCATATTCCATGCATTGTAAATTTCAGTTGTAGCTTTTCTCTTATCAATGTGAGCAAACTCGTAAACTGTTGACAATATATGTTCTGTATTTGTATGTGTTCTGTATCTGGGTGTTGTTCTGTATCTGTGTGTTCTACTCTGTGTTGCTGTCTTGCTGATGCTGTGCTGCTGGTCTGTGTAAATGGTGTGTTCTTGGTGAATGCTATGATCATGGTCTGTGCCAGATTAGTCTGAATGCTTTGCAGTTTTGTGTGGGAGTTTTGGGGTGATTGGTTCTGCTGGTTTTTAGAGTAGAGATCATCAACAAGTGATGATCTGGTTTTGTTGCTGAAATGATGATCTGCTGCTGGTGGGAAATAATATGATGACGCAAAATTCTCTGCAGGCTGCTGCTGTTATGTGGATGTTTTTTGTTTATGTTGATGGGGTTGAGCTGCCTTCCACAAGTTCACTCTCTTGCTGCTGTTGAACTGATGGGGTTCTGCTATGCACTGTTGGGGTTTTCCTCTGCCCTTGCACTGCTGGGGTTGTGCTGCCTCTTTGATTTAAATTGTAGTTTTGTTTTGGTCCCTTTTCCTCTGGTTTTGCTGGTTTTATCTTCTTTGTTGGTCTCTCACCAACTAGGAGGTTGGAGCTTTGTTTAGCTCCAACCTCCTCTTTATTGATGTATCTTTTCATACTTTGTATGGTTTTTCATCAATAAAGTCTTTCGTTTTGCTGATCAAAAAAAAAAAAATCAGCAATAGGTAGAGTACAGAGTCAAATGTATAACGGTAAGTCACGACACATTCGTCGTCGACATAACAGCGTGAGACAACTACTCTCTAATGGAATTATTTCCATTGAATATGTGAAGTATAAGGACAACATAGCGGATCCACTAACCAAAGGGTTAGCAAGAGAGTTAGTTAAGAATTCATCAAGGGGAATGGGACTTAAGCCTATTAAATAAGAGTTACCACAACGGCAACCCAACGTAGTTGCCTAGAGATCCCAAGATCTAGGTTCAAAGGGACAACCGAGTTGTATATGACTCATAAGGATCATTTGGGAGTTAAACTCCTACCCATTTCTATGATGAAACAGTGATGTCTGCATCGTTTTAGGTTAAGTAATACTTTTAATGATTCTTATATCTATGTATACCTAGTGAAGTATGGCAGGATACTCTTCATAAGAATTACTTATATGAGTGTGAACTCGGCCGGTTCTATGAGATTTGTGAAGGGCTACAATTCTCAAGAGCACTCATGAAACACCAAGTTGTTCAGGCCCAAAATGAATACAATAGTGAGAACTAAACTGTGTCTGGTAATATACTGTATGAGTTCTAATGTCTTGGTTTACACAAATGGCTGAATAGTTCAAGACATCATGTTCACTGGTTAGCTAGTAAATCCGATAGTGTCTCACAATGGAAGGTTCAAAGCCAAAAGCTACCTATACAAAATATTTACTTCGGTTAAGCCACTAGGGGCAGCTTTCTGTGTTTGGTTTAAAAACTAAGAAAGCTGGCTTAGCCCCAAGGCTCAGCTCGGTTGAAGGCCATGGATCCTAGACTAATGTGTTCAAAACTTCGTTCGGTGATTTTATTTCGGCTACGGTGAATCAGGAGTTGGTGATTTGTTAAAACTTCTACAAGTTCTAGTTCGGTTATTGTCTAAAGTGATCTACCAATATTGGACAAACAGTATCCTAATTCGGTTGCTATGTTATTTTGGATCTAAGACTAATTTTCTACAGAAGTTCATACGCGCATGAGTTGTGCTATTGTTTTTCCATGAAAATACAGAAGCAAAGCAGAAAGGGAAGAACATGTTTTGCAAAAATACAGTGAACCAAATGTATAGAAGCAGATACGAAAGCAAAAACAGGGAAGGAAAGTAGATTTGCTTACCAGATTAAAGAAGAGGGGACTGAAGATGAAAACTGTTGCAGTAAAGGAAGAACACGAACAGCAAGAGCACAGAGAGAGAAGATGAAGAATAGTGAAGGTGGATGGTTCAAAGGCAGGATGATTGTTTTGTGGAAAGAAAGAGAGGGCGGGAACTGTTCAAAAATTGCAAAACACGAAGACGGCGTTGACAGCTGCCTTCTACGAATGGGAGCGTGCCACGTGTATACGGAAATGGAAGCGTTACAGTCATGATTTAAGAGACGTTTTGACTGGACAAAGTAAAGCCCGAAGTAAAATTAGCTCGGCTTAAGGGCCCAAGAGTTTTTGGCTCGGCTGGAGAGGCTAAAGGGTTTTTAGCTCGGCTGGACCGGCTTAATAACTTCAGCTCGGTTGGTGGACTAGTAATCCCAATCATGCTGTGCAGATGGAATTAAGGGGCAATTGAGAGGGTAATTTTTGGTAAAAGCTGGGCCGAGCTATGTGATGGGCTTTGTGGCCCAAATTGCCAAGGACTAGGTGAAAAGGCCGAAATGTTACTCCGGCCCAAGAAAAGTGTAGTTACTCCGGCCCAGGGAGGTATAGTTACTCCGGCCCGAGGAGGAGTAAAGCTACTCCGGTTCGGAGGCAACTTGAAGTTAGGCCGGTCTCAGAGTTAGTCCGGTCGCGGCGTATTCTAGATAGGTCGGTCAAGACCTTGCTATTCGGTAGACCGGTCCCAACACATCATGGTTCATGCAAGGGAGAACCGAGATAAGAGGTAAAAGGAAGGGCCGAACTATCTCGCGGCTAAGCTTAGCCAGTTTACTACGGTCAAATGGTAGTTCGGTCGTAGTAAAAACCATCCCACTTGGTTTAAGCAGTGGGGGGGGTGTAAAAGGATAAGCATTATCCTTAGGAGTATGAATCCTAGGAGGACTCTGCATGGAGGAATAAAAGTCCTACTAGGATTGTGCCATTCGAAACTTATAAAAGCTCACAAACATCACCTTGGAAGAGGTAACAGAACACAACATAATTTTGCTTCCTGAGAACATTGGGCTTTGTCTATTTGTCTAGTTTTCTGACTTAGGCATCGGAGAGGTTTCCGGCACACACCCGCCGGCCAGCTCACGTTTGTGTTTTCAGGTAATAAAGCGACGTCATACGGAGGAGGGTGGACTTGGTCAACAGGATTATACGAGGAGAATTATTTCTTTCCCGTACAATTTGAGAGGGTAATTTTTGGTAAAAGTTGGGCCGAGCTATGTGATGGGCTTTGTGGCCCAAATTGCCAAGGACTAGGTGAAAAGGCCGAAATGTTACTCCGGCCCAGGAAAAGTGTAGTTACTCCAGCCCAGGGAGGTATAGTTACTCCGGCCCGAGGAGGAGTAAAGCTACTCCGGTCCGGAGGCAACTTGGAGTTAGGCCGGTCTCAGAGTTAGTCCGGTCGCGGCGTATTCTAGATAGGTCGGTCAAGACCTTGCTATTCGGTAGACCGGTCCCAACACATCATGGTTCATGCAAGGGAGAACCGAGATAAGAGGTAAAAGGAAGGGCTGAACTATCTCGCGGCTAAGCTTAGCCAGTTTACTACGGTCAAATGGTAGTTCGGTCGTAGTAAGAACCATCCCACTTGGTTTAAGCAGTGGGGGGGGTGTAAAAGGATAAGCATTATCCTTAGGAGTATGAATCCTAGGAGGACTCTGCATGGAGGAATAAAAGTCCTACTAGGATTGTGCCATTCGAAACTTATAAAAGCTCACAAACATCACCTTGGAAGAGGTAATAGAACACAACATAATTTTACTTCCTGAGAACATTGGGCTTTGTCTATTTGTCAAGTTTTCTGACTTAGGCATCGGAGAGGTTTCCGGCACACACCCGCCGGCCAGCTCACGTTTGTGTTTTCAGGTGATAAAGCGACGTCGTACGGAGGAGCGTGGACTTGGTCAACAGGATTATACGAGAAGATATATTTCTTTCCCGTACAATTGGCGCCGTCTGTGGGAAGAACAGACAAGAAACAAAAACCTCTTGACTAAGCTTCTCCTTTTCACAATCAATGGCGCACATTGAAGAATTGCCGCAGTCCGCCATCGACGGGCTAACTCCAGATGGGGGTGCAAGGCGTGAAGGATTACCCCTTGTCCCTCCCATGGCGGACTTGGAGCCCCAACAACATAACTCCAGGAGAAGTGGCAGGGGAAGGCAGAATAACAGCCCCCGTCACTCTCGTTCACAAAGTCCTGACAGGCAAAGGAGGAGGATTGATCCCCAAGCCCTAGAAGATCGCGTGAAGGAACAAGATGAATTGATAAGAAAGATGGCGGTGGACATGGAGGCCTTGAAACGCCAGATGAAGAAAAAAGAAGTGGCGATAGGAGAGGGGCTCAAACACAAGACGCCCCCTCGCCACTCAGAAATTCATGGTAGGAATACCACACCCTCGCAAGGAGAGAGCAGAAGCCTCAGGACAGGCGACACTCATTCCTTATCTTCCAAAACTCGTCACTCCAGGTCTGAGAGGACGAGATCTGAGAGATCATACACTGAAGGAAGCACGTATTGGCCTTCACATTCACCCCAAACCAGATCTAGACAAACAGAGCTGCCCAGGTCATCCGACTTACGAACCGTGCTCGAAGAAAAAGCACGATGCAAGGACCTCAAGCTCTGGAAGATCGCATGAAAGAGCAAGATGAATTGATAAAGAAGATGGTGGTGGACATGGAGGCCTTGAAACGCCAGATGAAGAAAAAAGAAGTGGCGACAGGAGAGGGGCGCAAAAACAAGACGCCCCCTCGCCACTCAGAAATTCATGGTAGGAATACCACACCCTCGCAAGGAGAGAGCAGAAGCCTCAGGACAGGCGACACTCATTCCTTATCTTCCAAAACTCGTCACTCCAGGTCTGAGAGGACGAGATCTGAGAGATCATACACTGAAGGAAGCACATACTGGCCCTCGCATTCACACCAAACTAGATCTAGACAGACAGAGCTGCCCAGGTCATCCGACTTATGAACCGTGCTCGAAGAAAAAGCACGATGCAAGGAGGATGCCAGGGCGCGAGATCCACACAGAGTCTCTGCCTTACAGCGGTTGGCTCCTCGGACGCATGGAAGCGTCGAGGTTAGAATGCCAATACCGCGCCCAGCATATGAACCAACGGACAAAGCCTTAGCAAGACTACAGACTTCACCTTTTGTTCCAGCAATTAAAAACGCGGCCTTACCATCAGGCTTCCTTCAGCCGAAATTCACTACATATGAAGGGAAGACAGACCCGTATTCACACTTGAGCCACTTTCGCCAAGTCATGGCTGTATACAGGCGAAACGAGGCCTTAATGTGTATACT